CAGGGGTTGGAGGTTGCTGTGAGCTGTAATGCCATGGCACTCTACCCAGGGGGACAGCTTGAGGCTCTGTCTCAAAAAAAAAAAAATTTCTTACTAATTCTGTTAATAAGAAATGTTTTCTGACCAGGCGCTGTGGCTCACGCCTGTAATCCCAGCACTCTGGGAGGCCAAAGCAGGTGGATTGCCTGAGCTCCGGGGTTTGAAACCAACCTGAGCAAGAGTTAGAACCCCATCTCTAAAAATAACCAGGCATTGCGGCAGGTGCCTGTAGTCCCAGTTACTCGGGAGGGTGAGATAAGAGAATCACTTAAGCCCAAGTGTTTGAGTTTGCTGTGAGCTATGACACCAAAGCACTCTGCTGAAGGTGACAAGGTAAGACTGTCTCAAAAAAATAATAAAAAAAAACATGTTTCCATAATCTTAAAAAGGATGATGTGAATGAAAAATACTAGTTTTTCTGGATTCTTTCATAGTTATTTTAGAGAACCCTAGTCAGATATTTTATGCTGTCATGCCCACCTAGTCAAATTTTTTAGATTTCCTCTTCTTTTTTGATTTTAAGACAGTTTCCCTTTGTTACCCTGCCAGAGTGCAGTGTTGTTATCAGAGCTTACTGCAACCTCAAACTCCTGGGCTCAAGTGATCCTCCCGCCTCAACCTCCCATAGTGGTAGGATTACAGGTGTAAGCCATGGTGCCCAGCCAGATTTTCTCTCTGGAAACATGACAACTAAGCTCAGCACTTGACTATTGAGGAAGAAAAAAGCTCTAAAGAACATTGGTCCTTAATCTTGAAACTTTGGGAGGCAAAGGTGGGAAGATTGCTCGAAGGTAGGAGTCTTGAGACCAGCTTGGGCAGCAGAGAGACCCCTATCCCTACAAAAAAATTTTTTTAAGTAGGGCCAGGCAGCACGGTGGCTCACACCTGTAATCCCAGCACTCTGGGAGGCAGGTGGATTGCTTGAGCTCAGGAGTTTGAGACCAGCCTGAACAAGAGTGAGACCCATCTCTACTAAAAATCGAAAATCTAGGTGGGCGTCATGGCGGGCACCTATAGTCCAGTCTCTTGGGAAACTAAGGCAAGAGGATCACTTAAACCAAAGAGATTGAGGTTACTGTGAGCTACGACAGCACTGCACTCTACTCAGGGTGACAGAGTGAGACTATGTCTCAAAAAACAGGTTAGGCTTAGTGGTGTACATCTGTAGTCCCAGGTGCTTGGAGATTGAGGCAGGAGGATCACTTGAGCCTAGTTCAAAGTTGAAAACAAAAAAGACTAGGGCAGTGGGGAAGTTTTTAGTCTTGACTGTGGGCTCAGCACCCGTAGCACAGTGGTTATAGCACCAGCCATGTATACCAAGACTGGCAGGTTCAAACCCGGCCCAGGCCAGCTAAAAACAGTGATGACAACTGCAACGAAAGGTAGCTGAGTGTTGTGGCAGGCTTTTGTAGTCCCAGCTACTTGGGAAGCTAAGGCAAGAGAATCACTTAAACCCAGGAGTTAGAGGTTGCTGGGAGCTATGATGTCAAGGCACTCTACCGAGGGCAATGTAGTGAGACTTTGTCTCAAAAAAAAAAAAAAAAAATTTTTTTTTTTTTGACTGTGTATTAGCTAGTATCATGTCTTTGTTTTTTTTGTTTGTTTGTTTGTTTGTTTTTTTTTGAGACAGAGCCTCAAGCTGTCCCCCTGGGTAGAGTGCCATGGCATTACAGCTCACAGCAACCTCCAACTCCTGGGCTCAAGCGAATCTCCTGCCTCCGCCTCCCAAGTAGCTGGGACCACAGGCGCCCGCCACAACGCCCGGCTATTTTTTGGTTGCAGCCGTCATTGTTGTTTGGCGGGTCCGGGCTGGGGATTCGAACCCGCCACCTTAGGTGTACGTGGCTGGCGCCTTAGCCGGTTGAGCTATAGGCGCCGAGCCTAGTATCATGTCAAGATAATGGCATTATGGTTTTATAGAATGTCTTTTGGAGGCTTAGTGTTGAAATGTTTAGGAATGTGATATTAGTGGTAAGTTGTCCCACAGTGTCTGCACCTTAGTTTCAAAGGTTTCAGCAAAGAAAATATGTGGAATTATTTTATATAGAGAGAGCACATGTGACAGGGTTTGTTAGTAATTGGTAAATCAGGTAGAGAGCAAATGAATGTTTATTTTACCTGTTTCAATTTTTAGTGGGTCTTACATTTTTCAGAATAAAATATTTGAGGAAAAACACTCCAACTTTCTGGTTGGAAAGTCTAGTCTCCTGGTTTCCCTTCTCAGTGTTTGTATCAAGTTCTGAAGACAACTTTGAAATTGTGAATTGTGATGTAAATGAACAGCCCCTGTGGTTGTGAGGCCTGTGTGCAGCTGAATAGAGCAGGCGCAGCCTCTGCCTCTTCCACGACAAGGGAAGTGAATGAATTATTGTTATTATCATTATTACTTTGAGACATTTCTCTCTGTCCCCTGGGCTAGAGTGCAATAGCATCATCACAACTTACTTCATCTTTTAACTTCTGGGCAAGAGATCTTCCACCCTATCCTTCCAGAATAGCTGGAATTACAAGTGTAAACCACCATCCCCAGCCTGGGATTATGTTTTAAGGAGAAGCTGGGAACCCTTTGAAAAAAGAATTTTTTTCTTCAGAGAGTCTCACTCTGTTGTCTAAGCTAGAATACTGTGGCCTTAACCTAGATCACAGCAACGTTAAACTCCTGAGCCCAAGCCACAATTTATTAGTATTTTTATATTCCAAGATGGCAGGGAGCAGGTGCTGCCCTTATATCCTACAGTGCCATCCGTGCAGAATGTTTTTCAGTAATGTCAGGTTGATTGAATTGCATATGCTTTGTGCTAATTTTATAAATAAACCAGATATTTAGTCCCTCAGGGAGTCAGTAATCTTAGAGGACTACTTTTGCTGCCGCTGCTTCTGTTTGTTAGTTTTGAGAGGGAGCAGGGAGAAGAGGCTCCTGGTTTCGCTCCTCAGTGTTTGTATCAAACATTTCATCTGTTGTCTTTGATATCACACAATAAAGCTTTTTCAACTTGCTGAATTTTTTTCCCTTCTAGGTGAGGAAAATAGCACCTGAATACTACGACAACCTCCCCCACTACAATTCCTGGATAAAAGTACTGTATGATTTTGTGATGGACGATACAGTAAGTCCCTACTCAAGAATGAAGAGGCATCAAACAGGGCAGGTGGAGCTGGAGTAAATGTCTTTATACCCAAAGAAATTCTTTGAAGCATCAAAATAGGCGATAAAGTGGAATTCTCACATTATAAAAGCTAGGACCAGTAATGCTTTACAGAGTCAGCCTGTCTCTGTAGTGCTCAGCTTTACTCATAGGAAATATGTATTATCTATCATCTTTGTGGATCCCTTCACCCATGTCTGTCATCTTGTAAGCATATCATTAAAGAAGGCTTTCAAAAAGCCATTTCTAGCACATTATTTTCACTATAGTTTTACTTTATTAAAGCAGCTAATAAACTGAGCTATTGACTGGAAGAAGTTGCTCACGCCTGTAATCCCTGCACTCTGGGAGGCCAAGGCAGGTGGATTGCTTGAGCTCGGGAGTTTGAGACCAGCCTGAACAAGAGTGAGACTCCCATCTCTACTAAAAATAGAAAACCTAGCTGGGTAGTGTGGCAGACGCCTGAAGTCCCAGCTACTTAGGAAGCTGATGCAGGAGGATTACTTAAGCCTAAGAGTTTGAAGTTGCTGTGAGCTGTGATGCTATGGCCCTCTACCAAAGGCAAGAGACTGTGTCTCCAAAAGAAAAAAACCCGAGCTATTAATCACAATATTTTAGTGTTTGTTGTATTTTTGTATTTACTGCCTTTTACTATAACATGGTAACTTGGGTACTAGGAGAACTCACTTTAAAATTTCGTCCAAAAAATAATTTTAAAAAGTTTTGACGTAATAGGTTAGTATGAAAGGTTGAGATGGAAATAATCTTTATTGTAAGCTGAATTACTCATTTGTAAGTTTTACTTTTGTACATAGGATCTAAATTAGACACTTGAATCCTGTACAGCCTTTCTCATAAATAAAGTACTTACTGAATCCAATCATGTCCAGTATTCAGACTTCAAGGGGTTGGGGGTCACCAGAAGATGGGGTCTTGGCTTTAGGAATGAAGAGGCTACACGAGAGTCTGTGCTGGGAGACTGAGGAACTCTAGGAGGAGCCCTCTCCAGTAAATCTCAGGTCGGACGGAAATCGTAAAACAGGAAGAAGTAGACAAAAGCTGCTTCTCTGACGTTAGCGCTGGTTAGGGAGGAGATGGACGAGGTCAAATAGAATGTCTCCACTTTTTTTTTTGCAAAACTGCAAGCCTTGAGCACAACCTCTGCCTCAAGATCTTTGAAAGCTAGAGAATCTTTACCATAATTATCACTGCCACACCTCACATAAACGTTTTCTCCTGGAGGCCAGTTTTCTGATCTGCACATAAGACAACTCATGCCATTTTCGTGATGCTCTAGTTCTCAAGAAGTAAGTTTTGGCGCCTGTGGCTCAATCGGCTAAGGCGCCAGACACATACACATACGGTGGCGGGTTTGAATCCCCCGCCCGCCAAACAACAATGATGGCTGCAACCAAAAAATGGCAGGTGCTGTGGCGGGCGCCTATAGTCCCAGCTACTTGGGAGGCTGAGGCAGGAGACTCGCTTGAGCCCAGGAGTTGGAGGTTGCTGTGAGGCCATGGCACTCTACCCAGGGGGATAGCTTGAGGCTCCGTCTCAAAAAAAAAAAAAGAAGTAAGTTTTTAGCTGGACGTTGTGGCGGGTGCCTGTAGTTCCAGCTGCTTGGGAGGCTGAGGCAAGAGCTGAAAGTTTCTGTGAGCTGTGACACCATGGTACTCTACCAAGGGCAACAAAGTGAGACTCTGTCTCTAAAAAATAAAAACGCTGGGCAGTGCCTGTGGCTCAAGGAGTAGGGTGCCAGCCCCATATACTGGAGGTGGAGGGTTCAAACCTGGCCCTGGCCAAAAAACGTTAAAAAAAATAAATTTTATGCTAGAGGTCAGGGCTCAGTTTCCCCTACATAGACTCCTTTTTCAGATGTGTTAACTCTCACATTAAAAACTACTCAAATGGTGGCTAGGCGCCAGCCACATACACATAAGGTGGCGGGTTCGAATCCCCAGCCCAGGCCCGCCAAACAACAATGATGGCTGCAACCAAAAAATGGCCGGCGCTGTGGCAGGCACCTATAGTCCCAGCTACTTGGGAGGCTGAGGCAGGAGACTCGCTTGCTCAAGGAGTAGGGTGCCAGCCCCATATACTGGAGGTGGAGGGTTCAAACCTGGCCCTGGCCAAAAACTCCAAATAAAAAAAAAATTAAAAAAGAATAAATATGGCTTACCCTCGGTATATGGGGCTGACGCCCTACTCACTGAACCACAGGTGCCACTCGCCATTTGAGTTTTTTTTTTTGAGACAGAGCCTCAAGCTGTCCCCCTGGGTAGAGTGCCGTGACATCACAGCTCACAGCAACCTCCAACTCCTGGGCTCAAGCGAGTCTCCTGCCTCCACCTCCCAAGTAACTGGGACCACAGGTGCCTGCCACAACACCCAAGCAGCTGGAACTACAGGCACCCGCCACAACGTCCAGCTAAAAACTTACTTCCTTTTTTTTGAGACGGAGCCTCACTTGATCCTTGTGGAAACGTATACTTGATGAAAACCATGCATGTCTATGGAAACCACTTTCTTTTTTCTTACATGAAGTTTATTTTTACCTGGATATATCTTCATGTTGCAGTCAACATAAATCAAAATGAAACAAAATATATGTTTAATTGGCTCAGAAAAGGGCTATGTGAAAAGAGAGAATTAGGATTTGGAAGGCTGGATTTGAGTTACAGTCCCAAGGAAACTGCTTTTGGGGTTTGTGTGTATGTACCTTATGAAATTATTATTGCATTTACCTTAAAATAAGGATTAAAATTGCATTTAAAAAAAATTTTTAAGACTAGTCAAGTGCAGTAATGAGAAGGGGAGAAACAGTAGAACAAGCAGTCGGATCTGTGACTGACTGAACACTCGGGAGATCACTCACTACCTTCAGACCAGCCTAAAATTGCATTCACATACATCACTGAAGGTTACTCTTTGTGAAACTGAAATTTTTGTGTGCCACTTACAAATGTTACCTATAAATGAGCATTTGGGAATATTTTACTTTCTTATTCTATTAATATTAGGAATAAAGTATGAAATATTAAACAAAAAGAATCACCTACATTGCTGTCAGCAAAGCATCAGATAGCATGGATGTTTGATTGCATCTCAGTGTTAAACCTTCACTGATAGATGTGCTTACCTAAATTATCAAAATTCTGTTTGTAAATACAGAAGTGAATTGTGGGCATAAAATGGTTATGCCATTTTAGATAATGGTCCTGGAGAGCATTTATGTAATAACTGAGGACAAAAGTTCTGGCTAGATGTGGAAAAATGGGATTTCCTTTGCAGTTTATGTAAGAAAAAACTACTTGGTTTTTGGGGGGGGGCGGGGGGGTTCAACCTTTCTTCCCAGAAGAGTATTGTCTGTGTAAATACCTAGTGCATTATAGGAAACACTGCAGGACACTGTCCTGTCCCCTTGCTTTTTGTCCTGTTGCCAATTCACACATGCTTGTGATAGTGACTGCCTTTTTTTAAAGAGACAAGAGTCTCACTTTGTTGCTGTAGAGTGCGGTGCTGTCACAGCTCACAGCAACCTCCAGCTCTTGGGCTTAGGTGATTCTCTTGCCTCAGCCTCCCAAGTAGCTGGGACTACAGGCGTCTGCCACAACGCCTGGCTGTTTTTTGGTTATAGTTGTCGTTGTTTGGCAGTCCCAGGCTAGATTCGAACCTGCCAACTCTGGTGTATGTGGCTGGTGCCTTAGCTGCTTGAGCTATAGGTGACCAAGCGGATTATCTCCTTTTAATGTACACAATGTAAGTAGATAATCTTATCCTCCTTTAAAGGAGGCAACTGGCTTGACACCTGCCACAGTGCCTGTCTATTTTTTTAGAGACAGGGTCTTGCTCTTCCTCAGGTTGGTCTTGAACTCATGAGCTCAGGCATGAACTAATCTTGTTCTAAGCCCCAGCCCTTGCCACCACACCTTGGCACTGTCCTGCAATTACTTATCACAAAGAACTCCTGTGTGGTATAATTAAAAGTGGTAACAATGGTATATTTTATGTCATATGCACTCTATCACATTTTTAAAAAAATATCTAAACTCAGACAATAGTTTGGGCAGCAAATATTAGTTGGCATGGCTTGGAACAATTATGATCTCTCTTCTTACTGCTGGCACCATCCCAAATGACCACTCCAGGACTGGATGTTCCAGTGGCATCAGTGACCAGCACCGTCATAGTTGGTGTGGTGAGTGGCTGTGCCTTTCACATGACCTCCAAGCCGTCTCAGCAGCCCAGGAGGCAGGGTGATAGATAAGGAAACCAGCTCAAGGAAACCAGCTCAGAGAAGGCAACTTGCTCCAGATGTGTTTTTCTTCCCTATCTGCTCTGAGACGTGCAGTGCCTGCAACCACAGGTCAGGTCAAAGCCCTTGCTGGGCCCTGGCCACTGGGGTTTGACAGTGGGAGGCTTATGAAATAGATCATCTTTTTTCAGGCTGTGAGAAGTCAGTGATCTAAGGAGCTCACAACACCCAGATGTCCACTTTTCTTTCCTGTTGGCAAGTGAGGCCATTGAGTTTTGTATGCTTATCTAAACCAAACTTTGCAGAGTCCTATTGTTTGAAAAACCTGTGTGTTTCAACCAGATCTGAAAAATGTTTGGTTCAATGTGAGCTCTGGGCCACAAGCCCTTGTTCTGACTTCTGTTGCACACTTTTCTGACAAGTTGAATGTAGAACTATCTTAAGGCATTTATAAACTGCACACCTCCCAGCCCACACTGCCACTGCCTCAAGCCACTGCTCAGACTGCCGCCCAGGTTCCTGGGAGTGGCAAAATTGATATTATCTTTAGAAAAATGTCATGAATCGGCCTGGTGTAGTGGCTCATGCCTGTAATCCTAGGTCTCAAGACCAGCCTGAGCCAAAGCGAGACCTCATCTCTAAAAAAATAGTTGGCGCTATGGCAGGCACCTGTAGTCCCAGGTACTTGGGAAGCTGAGGCAAGGGAATCGCTTAAGCAAGAGTTTGAGGTTGCTGTGAACTATGATGCCATAGCACTCTGCTGAGGGCAACAAAGTAAAACTCTGTCTCAAAAAAAAAAAAAAAAAAGAAAGAAAAGAAAAAAGAAATACAAATGAATTTAGACACGATGGCACTGCCCTGCAATGGCATATCACAGAGAATCTCTATTTGATTGTGTATGAAACGAGCAGTTGGGGTGTGGTGCGGCCGGGTGGAGGTCTTAGCGTGTGTGAATGCTCTGCCACAGACCACACTCAGGAGGATACTGTGTGGGGAGGG